TCATGAAAATTTGTATGCTCTCTACTAGCTTTCTAGGTGAACATAACTATAATGGTTACTGATAGACACTCACTAATTGTGAAGACAGTATAGTCTTAAAGCATGTGATTTCATTTCGTTCATCTATATATGTATTTTAGAGCATGTCTATTTGTCTGTGTGTGAGTCCATTTGTTCAAGAATTCCGCCCAAACAGTAAGAGCTAAGGCCATCAAGTTTGGTAGGCAGCTTCCTCTTCTCCTAACTTAAAGCAAGGTCAGGGTCCAATTGTACCAGGAGAACCAGAAGTCCTGGGAAAAGGACAGTTTGCCATAACGTGCAAAGGGAGAGGCTGTATTCTGAGAGATGTGATATGAGAGTGGTCACTAGGGGCAGCAAGCCGCATAGGAGAGCTATCCTGCAGAATGTCCACTTTGGGAAGCAGTACCACCAAGGGAGTGACCAGCAGGGCCAGGGCCCTGCTATTTTTCCTGGCACCAGACCATGAAAGTGGATCCGCCCTGCCCGTAGACAGCTCCCACCAGCCCCTCCTGCATAGGGAGGGCCTAGGAGTTGAGGGAGCCCTGCCCCTGGCCAGGCCAACTGTGGGAGGAGGAGCCCCCACTGACCCTTGCCCCAGGCCAGTAGTAGTCCATTAGAGACCCCTGCGCTGGCCCCTTGGGACAAGCTGGTGGGTACGGTGCACAGTCTCTACTACCCTGAGTGGCTGCTTCTGGTGAAAAGCGAGTGCCCGCCCCCTGCTGTGATTCCTTCACCCTTACATACTCCAGCCTCCTGTCCTGTGTTGGGAGGAGGAGCCCCCACTGACCCTTGCCCCAGGCCAGTAGTAGTCCATTAGAGACCCCTGCGCTGGCCCCTTGGGACAAGCTGGTGGGTACGGTGCACAGTCTCTACTACCCTGAGTGGCTGCTTCTGGTGAAAAGCGAGTGCCCGCCCCCTGCTGTGATTCCTTCACCCTTACATACTCCAGCCTCCTGTCCTGTGTAGGGTTACCAGGTAAACCCCCCCCCCCCAAAAAAAATACTGGCCCCT